GAGCAGAAAGATAAAAAACATTTGTCGGACGGAGAGTAGCGTCCTGCGACAGGCTCCGCCCCTGACACGCCTCCTTTCAAATAAGGGGGCGTGGTTCTGAGGCTGAAGCAGTTCCAACTTTATGAACATTTAAAAACACGTTGAAACACTGAGACTTAACAGAACTTTGAGGCTTACTACATTTTTAGACGTGAAAATTCTGCAAATAATGAAAAACATTGTTAACTTGATTCGGTTCTGGTGCGGTCGTGTTGCACTGATCTGCCCTTTTGTTTTGTTCCCGGCTAAATGTCTTCTTGGTATTTTAGCTCATTTTTAGGCAACGTCACTTTAGCTGCTTTGCCATTGATGAGTGCAACTCCACTTGGCTGTCATCAGCTTCTCTCACGTGATTTGCCACTGGACTTGTTTCCCCGCTCTGTGGGCGGGATCATCAGTGCAAAGTGGGCGGGGTCGTAACTGGTCATTGTGTTCAAGCCACTCCGCTCGTTGTGGTTTTTAATCGCCCTATACGTAATCTGAATTTCTTTAGCTTATCCCAGCACAATTTACAAGTCTGGGTGTAGCCATGCTGCTCCATCATCTCTAATATTTCTCTGTAAATGTGCTCATTTCTTGTGACGCCGCCCGACAGCTTGATCAGAGAGGAAGTGGAGGTTTAGGTGTAGTTTGCAGTTTTAATGGGCGAGTCATCGAGTGACGTAGCTCTGCTGGCCAATCAACGGCTGCTGTCGGCTTAGGTCAACACCCGCCCCTCGGAGCAGTCTGCTTGGAACCATGAACAAGGTGGTCCCATAAACCGGGCTGAGCGGGGGTGGGTACCAGCAGTGGGCGGGCCCTTAACTGGTGCCGTGTGGAACGGATCTTGGACAGGTTTCCCTTGAAAGAGCTTTTGGATTTCAAAGGGAGCTTCCTGGTTAAATAAGAAATAAAGATCAAAAGGCTCATATTTTAAAGACGGATGGTTTGAGAGGGGGTGAAGGAAGCCATTTGTATCAAACGAGAAAAAACACTAACCACAACAGGAGGTTGTGAAAGCCCAAAATTGGTGCCTTCGTGTGAAATTTTGCTAACTGATGTCAACATAAAACCTTCTGAACGTGTTGATCCTGTTCTGTTTCCAGAGTTGATCGTTGACCTCTCAACAAGATGTTTGACCAGAACTAACACTATAATTAAAGACCCTGTGATTATTCTGGAGTTTTCTTCAACAATGCAGCTTGACCAAGACTGAAAGCTATAGTTTGTTAAACCTTAATGTTTTTTTGGTGCAGAGGTAATGTGGGGCCAGAGGGTGGTGTCAGAGATGTTTTGGTCCAGGTTTTATGGACGTTTCATTATTAACATTCTTCTTCCGACAACAAACAACCAAACTGTCTCCCAAAACACTCTTCTCCTGAACTGGAGATGGCTGTGACGTCTCCGTGAAGGCCAAGAGTACCACGTGAGACCACAGCTGGCATCGAGGACACCCACTGAACCACGTTAACCCTGACGGACTGATAAGGGTATAAAAGTGAGCAGGTAACGCAGCTCATGGCTTTTTCCTGCCACTGGTTGTCATGCGTATACCGGTACATCTATGGTTGTGATACATGTATACGTATGTAACCTCTCCTGAAATCTGACCTTGCAAGTATATATACCGGTTAAAAATCTCCTGCCGTCGAGTGCGATTCTTTTGGTTAACAACGGTAGAGAGATTTTCCCCAACGGCGGCCTTGGCCCCCATGTGTTGATCTTTGGCCACCTCACTCGTGAGGAAACTACACTTTAAGCAATACAGTAGTCAGTCGCTACGCGGGTCGACTTTCACAGACTCGCTTTATCGCGTTTTTTAAAAGATTGAACACGAGAGCAAAAAGTACACAACACGATTGTCAACTTTAATATTGCGTGATTGGAACAGTACGGGATACTGTGCGGTGTAAAATGTGTAAACGGGTCTGCAACCTTTACGATCAAAAGAGCCGTTTTTCACCTTTGTTCTGAAAACATTAAACGTGTCCAGAGCTGCAACAACCTGCTACAACTGTGGTCAACTGGTGGCCCATGGGCCACTTTAGGTTTGCTGGAGGGGGTTTTGTGGCTAGTAAGGTGACGTTATAAAGCAAAATATATCTAATGATTTTTAACATTAAAAGATCAGATTCTTGTAAAGGGGGAAAATTGTCAGTTTTTACCATGTTTTTAATTAAAATAAACTATGCAGCCAGTTCTTCATATAAAGAAATTAAGCATCATGTTTTACTCCTTGTGCTCGCTCGTGTTCACATATTTGCAAAATAAATTGCATCGTATCTGTTTGAACGCATCCTTTGTCGTCTAATAATTCAGTTTTATGCCAGTTTTGGTGAAAGCGTGAAAGAGCCGCAGGTTGCAGACCTGGTGTAGAAGAAACCGAACACGAAACTGCTGACTCAGCAGTTTCGTGTTGCCTGAAACACAAACAGCCCAACTTGGAGACACGTCCTTTATTATTGCCACAAACAAACCCACTGAAACTCACTCCATGCAGCCAGTTAGAGCGCCGTACGTCTGTTGACCTACTGCACAACTAGCTCCTAAAACCCAAACCGAGCTGCAACTTTAAGACATTAAAGCGGTTTTTGGTCTTTAATGTGTCGACTAAAGATACGTTAGTCTCATCTTTTAAAACTTAACACTTGAGATGAATGTTGACTAATACGGAACACTGATTTGTAGAGATAGATCAGCTGTTGATGGTATTACGGTCCTGGGTTCTAAACATAACGACTCGTTCATATTGAGGAAAACCATCAGAGCACATTTCATTTTTCTTGGGAAAAACATTCACATGATTCAGCTGAAAATTGTTAACGTCTAATAAAAATGAATAAAATGGTTGAAAAACAACTTTGGGATTAAAAATCTGAACGTGACCAAACCCACAAACAGAATCTGGGTCGAGCTGCAGCGGATCAGCAGAAACATTAAAACCAGTTTTAACGTTCATTTCTTCGTGACACCCTTCGCTTCACGTTCATTCCAAGGTTCCTACAAATAGAGCGACGTTGACAGGGCGTGGCGGCCATGTTGAAATTTTTATTTGACTTCGCCATGTGGTGGGGATCGCTCCTAGCTACCACCAAATCTCTACTCGATACGTTTCAAAATGTCTGAGTTAGTTCTTTCTTTTAGTTTCAGCAGCCATCTTGAAATTATTGATTAGCATTCAGCATGACCTAGAGCTTCCTAAAGGAGTGTTTTTAACTTGTCACATCTGACAGAGCGTTGTAAAATAAAATTTACACGAGTGAACCAATCTCTTATTACTCGTTTGTAGACTATTTTCAATAGACTTGTCTTTTTCAGTAATATTTACACAGCAGCTGTTTGAAGGAAACATCTGTCTCACCTGCTCCTCCCTGCCCCATAGGGCGGGAAAATCCAGCCTCCTGATTGGCTGAGGCTGTTTCTCCTGTATCCGGGCAGAATAAGGCAAATTTACGTAAAGCAATATGGCACCCACACAACTCACACATTTTAAACATTTTGAGCTGAAATTTTGATATGGTTGTAGCCAAGAACGATCTCGAACAAGTTCTGAATGCTAATCAAAATTTCAAGCTAACCGCTAATGCTAATTTTAGAATGTGCTACATTTCAAATGTTTTAAAACATGCAAATCTGAAAATTGGTACAGTAGTACCGAGAACAATCTGCAACTTCTGAATTTGAATGCTAATCAAAAATTCAAGATGGCCATCAGAGCCAATTTCAAATGGCTAAAATGTGGCCATTTTAAGACGGAGCTGAAGTTCGGTATGGTGGTAGCTGGTTCTTTACTTCGTTCCACTCTCAATTTTCAAATCTCCAATTCCTGATTGTCATTTAGCCATTTGGTTTACGTGTACCTTTGTAGGTTTACTTTTTATTTGGAACACTGTAGATTTTTTTTTTTTTTACCTTTCATGTCTTGTTTATCTCAAAGTTTGCCCCTCTTCTCCAAAAAAAACCCAGTTAAGTCTGATTTAAGTAGCTTCAGAACTCTACGACTGAAAACTTCTGATCCATGAAACCAAATATTTTCTGGTTTTTAGGGGGAAACCGTTGTGGCACAAAACAAGTCTGGACTATTTCGGTTTGATGTTTGTGCCAAACCTAGAAGACGGCTTCCATTTTTACTTTCTCTGTTCCATCATCACAGCCTGACGACGTCTCAGAAGACAAACTTCTCTGATGATGTTCCTTGTCTTTATAATCAAAAGGGACCTGAACCGATCGGGTGTGGGATCGACAACAGATCAGCTGTGCGGGTCAGGTTCACCTGTTGATTCGTTTCCCTCGGTGTACCTGTTGGATCGCTGCAGGAAAATCTGAGGAAAGCAGCCAAGGCCTGAAGAGATCTTTAGGCAGATCCTTCTGCAGCTATTTGTAAAAAGTTTCTACACCAGAATTCATGTATGCTTTATATTATTAAAAAACACATTAAACTTAAAAAAGAAGGAAAATAAATATTTATACCAGTTCATCTGAGATGTTCAAGCTTGCTTTGCATGTCAACGTATCACCAAGTGTCCAAACGGTTTCATTTTCTGTCCAAGACTTAAAAATGTCAACAAACCACGAGTCTGGTGAACCCCAGCAGCCAACAGGGACGCACCGCTCTGGAGGTTTCCTTCAAAGAAGTTCCTCGTTTGCATCACTAGTTCCTGTCGGTCCAAAAGTTGCTCAGGGGTCTTTTATGATGAAACGTCTCCAGGCAACTTTTTCTTTTTAAAAGGGCAGTTTATAAAAATGCAGGGCGTTCACAAGCCTGCATGCTGATGATCCACTGGTCTTCAGGAGTAATAAACGTACAAAATAAATGTGCTGCAAAACCACCAGAATGTTTCAGAGACACGTATAAATAAAAGTACATAAGTCCAATGTAGCTGGACCTCCATGGAAATGTAACAGGTACCTGATCAGAACTTAACCCCCCACCCCCACAACGTCCTCAGTGTTGCAACAAAAAGAGCACACGTTCTGTTTCTAAGGCTTTTTGTACACTAGTTAAAAACACTTCCCTTTACTGAGTCTTGTTTGAGAAAACCCCCAAATCAGTACTTGAGCCAAGGGTGGGCAGCGATGGATGCTTTGCTGCGATCGCCGTAGTCGTAAAGTAACTCCTCCCCCTTGTCGATGTCTCTGGAGGCGACGAGGATGAGGTGAGGAACGCTGTTGATGTCGTGGAGTTTGGTCTGACAGTTCCCGGTTTTGCTGTGGTTTATTAGCCGACCCATTCGACCCGTCTCTTTTGTGGCGTCCACGCTGTAACAAAAAACAGACGCAAACGTCAAACTTCAAGGACTTGGGGTCCGCTGTCCAGGAACACGGGGAGTGTGGTGAAGAGGTGAAGAAGAGAGTCCAGGCAGGATGGAGTGATGGAGAAAAGTGTCAGGAGTGGTTTGAGACTAAAGGGTGTCAGCAAAGGTCAAAGGTCAAAGGAAAAGTTTACAAGACAGTGGTGAGACCAGCTATGTTGCATGTTCTGGAGACAGACATGGCCAAAGAGACAGGAGACAGAACTGGAGGTGTCAGGAATGAAGATGTTGAGGTTCTCCTGAGGAGAGACAAGGATAGAGAAGCTCAGGAATGAGATGATCAGAGGTACAGCACAGGCTGAACACCTGGGAGATCAGAATCAGTTTTATTGTCGTTGCACTGAAGCACATACAGCCCGTCCAAGTAAAACACAGACGGACATGGGTAGACGGAGGTGTCTGAGGCCTCGTGTGAGGCGCCGCCCTTTTTGTTTAGATAAGGAAAAGAGAAACACGAGGGAAGAGGAGGTGTAACAAAAACCCTCAGCACAGAAATAACAACATACTGATGACATTACACTACATATGCATTTACTCGCCTTGGCAGGGCGCTCATATCGTCCATGATTTTTCTCAAACCGTTCTCGCGGTGGAGGCGGAGACACGTCTGTGTCGCGCTTCGTTCCGACAGTCTGAGCGGGCGGGGGTTGGAGACGGCTCAGCGTGAGGAAAGCAGAGCACCACCTCCACAGACATGGGTTTTTAGCTAGTGCATCTGTACTGCGCGCTGCTAGCTTAACGCTACATCAGTGCAGGCAGGTGTCACCTGGGGGGGTGTTGAAAGGCAGGGCCCTCAGTTCTGTTGGCAGGGCGGGGTGCCCTGCTTGTATAATGGTAGGGGAAACACTGATATATACATGTTATGTATGTAACCTGTCCTGAACTCTGACCTTGCAAGTATAAAATACCAGTTAAATACTGGTTCTGCTGCGAGGGGTTCTTATGGGTAAACAACAGGAAACAACTTCCCAACAGAGACGTTTCTAGACTTGACAGAAAAAGTGACGGGACCGTAAAAGTTCCAGCGATCTGTGGAAGAACTTGCTGTTCTTTCCTGAAAGGACCAGATGAATGATTTGTTCCTACCAGTATGTTTTGCAGAGGTACTGGAAGTAGTACATGTAGCAGCCTGTGGCGGGGTTCTGAGCGTACTCGGCCTCCCTCTTCTTCGCGTCAGTGATCTGCAGCAGGTCTCCGTGGTATTCCACAACGTAATCGCCTTTTTGGAAACACCGAGTGGCGAACACGGCCCTCCCCTTTCCTTCTACGTGCTGCACCTAAAAACAAGGAGGTCTCTACAGTCACACGAACCTGGACAGCAAACATGATTTAAATCTACCCTAAAGATCAAACTTCCAGTGGGTGTGTTTTTTGAAGATGTGACTTTAAAAGTGTTGACAGAAATTATAAAAGTTAAATCTTTTTCAAACACCTTTTTCCTCCTCGTTTCTGTTTATTTTTTGTGTCAGCCTCTCTGCTGCTTTCAGTAGCTGTTCAAAGTCACTTTAACAGTTTAAGGATTAAATCTTTTCAGCTCCTTCAGCAGACGAACACATGAACCATACAGTGACTGTTCATTTACGTTCTCTCATCAGGAACAAGAGCGGTGTGTCGTCATGCTAATAACATGTTAGCATCACGTGTTCTTAATAAAGTACCTCCATTCCCTCCTCGATGCCGTTTGTGATGAGGTCGTCGATCAGCTTCTTCTCTTCACACTTGTGACAGAAACACAGAGAGGAGCCATGTTGTCTATCAGACACTAAACCTGACCCCGCCCCCTGACCCCGCCCCCATCCATCCAGCCGCCTGTTCAAAACCAGGTTCCTCTCACCTTCAGTTCTGTTTTACTTTTTCTCGAGCTTCGTCTGATTGGAAAGAAGTCGGTAACTTTTCTGTTCTGGGAGTTTGCTCCTTTCACCCTGCAACAGAAAGAAAGAAAATACCAACGACGATCAGACCGTTTAAACAGATTAAATAAATATTAAACTTTGCATTTGGCCTCACTGCTCACAGACGTTTCTTCTTTTTAACACACCTCTGTGATTAAATTAACTCAACTGGGTCTGAAAGTGTTGATGGGCCAAATGAGAGGATGAGTTAATCAGCAGATTGGTTCTTGTGCACGTCATTGATTAGGTTTTTAAATAAAACAAGTGTTTTTGTTTGTTAGTAAAAACATCTTTTATCAAGAACAAGAGTCTGCTGTCTTAAAATAATTTGTGTTTATATTCAAATCTCTCTAATCTATGGACATTTTTCATTTCCTGTCCTCGGTTAAATGACGTCGCCAAGCATAAATGTAGTATCGGTTTGAAGTATCGGGGTGTCTTTGTGAGTACAAGTACAAATACTTGAGGCTGGTATTGGGCCAGAAGCCTCGGGTTTTGGTGGATTAAATCAATCACGTTTTTGAAAGCTTATATTTATCAGAAGTCTTTGGACACCAAAAGCAAAATGTGAATTTGATTTGAATGATTTGAGCCGGACAGCGTGGCCCCAGATCGTCAGACTGATGATGATGAAGATGGTAAAAGTGTGATTTCAAACATGCGTACATTCCTCGTGTGGCCCTCTTCCCGGCGACCTTGGCCCGGGCTCCTCTCCTCTGGCGGCTGTAGAGCGCGCTGCCGTTGTTGTTGTTGGCGTGGAGAAGAGAGTGCGAGAAGCCGTTACAGAGAGACACGGGAAGCTCAGGAGGCGGGCGAAGGCAGACCTGTGCACGGTGGAGCAGCGGAGGTGTCAGATGCTCAGCAGACCAGCAGGGTGAGCGCCGGCTGAAGGAGCTCTCCGTTTCTGTTGGATCTGCTGCCCGGCCTGCAACAAGGAAGGAGAGAGTGAGCAGCGGCTGGGGGCTCCTACAACGTCTCTGTGTGGACAAACAAGAAAATCTTTGTCTTCCTGTTGGGACTCAGTCCAGTCGTGTTCGTCCAACTCTTTTTTATTTATTTTTTTACACAGCAACGTGTCAAACAGGCATCGATCCATTCGTTTAGACAGAAAAACTCTGAGGTGCAGGATGATACGTACTCTGGGCCTGAGTCGGAGCTTCGTTGAGCAGCGAGCAGACGGGGGAGGACGTCCCCTCCTGCGTCAGCCTGAAGCTCATCTTCTCGTTATGGACTCCTGACCTGGAGCAGCTGAAGACCGTGACGGAGTGAGACACAACTTCCTGTGCAAGGACAGAGTCGGTCAGAGCGTCAGAACTCCTGCTGAACACGATCAGAACAAAATATAAATGCATTTCCTGTGAAAATGCAGTGTGAATGCTTATTGCTGAACAACAGCTGAAATCAGCTAACAACATGCTGAAATGTATCTGAAATGGAAGAACAGGTCTAAGTTAACAGAATAAAGCAGAAAGGAGCTAAAAATGTTTAGCAGCAGGAAGCTGAAAGAAGCTGAATCAGAACAAACAGTGAAAGGTTGTGAACACATCTAAAGACGTGAAGGATGGAAAATGAGCTCAATTCAGTCTCTGTGAGAAAAACTGGCAGAAAAGTCTAAATTCTTCAAACAGCTAAAGTTGCACCAGTGCCAAAAGTCACAGCAGGATTGTCCTGAAAGAGCTGAACGTTTTGATTGAGGATTTGTAGAAACAGCTGAAAACAGTGGAACGAGAAAGATGCTGAAAAACGTACAGAAGAAACATGGATCACAGTAGAGACCGCTCCGTTATTCAGACGGTCAGGAGCGGAATTAAACTCCTAAAGACACAAATTAGAGCGGCCCGTCTATAGAGTGGCCCTGTCCACCTATATGAAGGGGGAGTGGTGGCGCAGAGGTTAGAGGAGAGCCTGTGATCAGAAGGTCGCTGATTCAACTCCCCGGACCGACAACATCAAAATGTGGGTGTGTCCACCCTCATTTGCCCCACTCTGTGCCCTTGAGCAAGACCCTTAACCCCCACCATCTGCTCCCCCTGGTGCCCTCGAAGGCAGCTCTCTGCTCCACACACAGCTGGCGTAAAAACAATCATCAAGTCTTCGTGCGAGTTAGTTCTTTGTGACGTCCCCTGAAGAAGGGAGCAACCAAAAGAAATGTAAACACACACAGTCAATAACTTAACACATGATGAGCACAAACAAAACAACAATCAGTTTAATATTTTCAGATTTATCTGACAACCACTGGCCTCCCTTCATGCAGCACAAGAGGACACATATGGATGCAGTTAGAGGACACAGAGGACACAAAGGACAGAGGAGGACAGAGGAGGACTCGCTGTGAAAGAACAACCTTCAGGATCTTAAATCGACTGCAGTAAAGTGTTACTGCCATAATAATAATAAATTCCTGATCATTCTGAAAAGTCTGCAGCTTTGACAGTTCACAGGATTTGTCCATCTTTCTGTCCTGAGTGATCAGGACACAGATCAGCTGTGGAAGCAACTCTGAATCGAGTCCACAAGTTCATCAGTTGTTCATCAGAAGTTTCAGTCAAATCATGGGATGTTTTGCTAACAGACAGGCCCCACACCCATTCTGTCCCTTTAAATCCCGGAGCTGAGGCGCACACAGGCCCCCTGTCTTCATCTCATGGACGAGCCCAGCTGCAGTTCGACTAAAACACGATCTGGAACAGAAATTCGTTAATTTGGTTCATTTGGTGACTTTTAGCGCCTCGACGGACACATGTAGCTTAGCTGTTAGCACGTTAGCTCTGAAGCTACACGAACTCACTCATAATAATCAATAATAATCTAATATGATCAAACACTAGCTGTGCCTTTTTCAAAGACACGGTCTCTCTTTGAATGAGGACGCTTCTCCTCAGCTCGCTTTATTGAATACTTTTGTTGTTGCCAACTTACCCCGTTCATCATGGCCGACTGTTATTGTGGCTGCCAGGTCGACTCGCGTTCGGAGGATAAAACCCCCAGTATATTCCTCGCGGGAGACTAACCTCGGCGCACTTCCACAGACAGTGTCCTCTTAACGCGGCGGTACACGACCACGTAAATGTCCTGTCGTAACGGCCTGAAGCTCAGCCGAGGCCGCCTCCGTCACTCGGCTCCGCCATGATTCTCGGTGTGTCAATGAATGAGGAGGCAGGGCGGCAGCGCCCCCTGCTGGTCCGCAGCTGCACTTCACCGCCTGTTTCATTTTTTAACGGTTACTAATGCGCATGCGTAAACCTGGAGCCACGCCCACAAATGGGTTTCTTTTTCCGGTTAGAGCAATGGTCCTCCAGTGCAAGAGTTGGGGGTTTGATTCCACTAGCAGTCACATGCCGAAGTGTCCCTGGTCAAGACATTGAACCCCTCATCGCCTCTGATGTGTGTCCCATCAGTGCATGAATGTGATAAAGCTCTGATTATTCTTTATAGAGCTCTAGTAGAGTTCTGTATGAATGGGTAAATGAGGCACAGATTGTTGTAAAGTGCTTTGAGTGCCTTGAGAAGATAGAAAGGTGTTTTATAAGTACAGTCCATTTAACAACTACATTAAAAATGCACTTCAAAGAAGAGTAGCATGTAAAACAATAAATCCAGGTGCTGTAAAACAGTGAAATACTAAAAACAAGAACATCTGCTTTGATTTTTCTATTGACATTATCAAATGTTTGAAACCCCTTAGAAATCAAGGAGGACAACTTCACTTCTTGTTGCAAGGTGTTCCAGGTGCAGGAACTGAGTAGGAAAAGGTATTTTTTCCAAGTTCAGTCTGAACTGAGGGAACGCTGCAGGTAATGATGTCCTGAGTGCATGTTGTAACTGCACTGACTGTGTGACATGTGGGAGGAGCTGTAAGAAGGTAGCAGACCAAGGAGGGATCTATAGAAGAAAATGAACCAGTGTGAGAGCCTATATGTAGACAAATGTATAAATACAAACTTATTTATAATTTAGGTCTACAGTTTTGGTGTTTGACGTTAGTGAGGTAAAACATAGGTTGTGTATTTCAACAAACTGAAAATAGGCATGAAAATCTAGAACACAAAGCATCACATAACACTTACTTTGAGCATTAATAACTGTAAAAAAGTACAACGTGCAGCAGAGAAGTACGGAGCCTCGTATGGATCAGAAATTAATTACATTATAGTAATTATAGTACCCATATGTAGATTTGATTACAAGTGAGTCAGCTGGTCCCTAGAGTGAATGGTTTGTCTCTATATGTCCCTGTGATGGACTGGAGACCTGTCCAGGGTGTCCCCCGCCTCTTGCACAGTGACTGCTGGACATGGGCACCAGTGACCCCAGTGACCTGAAAAAGAAGAAGCAGATAAATATAATGGATGGGCGGAATATAAAATGACTAGCTGCTCACTGATTCAAAAGAAATAAAATAAAAATCCCCATTTTTAAGAACAACCTATAAAAAATAAAATGGGATAAAAAAAAGATGAGACAAATTTAAACTTCCACAGATGAGGCCATGTCTTCTTCTTATCCTTACTTCTTAAGGCTGGCTGCTCATATCATCACAGTCCCTGTGACCCACATCTTCAATCTCTCCATAAGACAAAACTCCATCCAGACACTTGAAAACAGCCTTTGTTCTTCTTTGCTGAAGGGAGGAGACCCCACCTCACTGAACAACTATGGACCAATCTCTAAACTCTGCATTTTAGCCAAGGTTCTAGAAAAACTGATAAACTCTCAAATCAAAAATGACCTGGACTCATTTAACATCTTACCTCCACATCAATCTGGTTTCAGGAAACAACACAGCACAACCACTGCTTCACTGAAGGTTCTTAATGATGTTGTTGAAGCACTGGATGCTAAGGATTATTGTGCTGCACTTTTCTTAGACCTGTCTAAAGATTCTGACACTGTGGATCAGAACATCTTGTGTCAGAAGATCTCAGAACTGGTTTCTCAGATCACACCATTGGTTGGTTCTCTAATTATCTCTCAGCCCAGAGGCAATGTGTTCAACATAATGGTACTTCCTCCAGTTATTTAACAGTCAACAATGGTGTACCACAAGGCTCAGTCTTAGGATCCACCCTCTTCACATTGTACATAGGTAATGTACATGTAGGTCAGAGCATCCCTGATGCATCCTTACATTTGACGACATAGTTGTTTATTGTTGAGCTAAAACAGTTGCTAACGCTTTCCAGCTTTTGCAATCCGCCTTTGACATCATCCAGTCAGATTTGTTCCATCTCAAACTTGTCTTAAATGCTGAAAAAACGAAAGGGATGTTTTTTTTCTGACAGGGAGTCGTCCCAGTAGTTCTTGTTTCGATTTTATCCTTGAATGTGTCGTCATTGAGTTTGTTGATTCCTATAAATATTTGTGTATCTTGGTCGACTCACATCTCTTAAGCTCCATGTAGAAAACTTGGTAAAGAAACTGAAAGTTAAACTGGGTTTCTTTTTCAGAAACAGATCCTGTCTAACCCTGAATGTTAGGAAACACCTTGTATCTGTGACTTTCCTTTGCTCCAGTCCAGTGATATTGTTTATATGACCTTTCACATCTCCATCAACCCCAACAAGAACCCTGCAGATGTTGGATGCTGCAGATGTTGGATGCTGTCTATCATGGTGCACTAAAATTCATAACTGGCTGTAACTACCGTACCCACCACTGCACCCAGTATTGGTTAACTGGTCACCAGTAACTTCACACAGACTCTCACTGGTACATTTCCATCTTTAAATCACTTCTTGGTCTGCTGCCTTCATACATCTCCTCCTACATGTCTCTGTGTGAGTGCAGCTACAGCGTGCGCTCTCAGGACATCATTACCTGCAGTGTTCCCTCAGTGAGGACTGAACTAGACAAAAGGACCTTCTCCTACTCCGCTCCTGTTTCCTGGAATATCTTGTAAAAACATCTGAAGCTCTCGAGCTTACGTGGCTTCAAACATCTGATAAGTTCCTGGCAAAAACCAATTCATTCATTCAACCTTTATTTCTTCAGGTTAATCCCATTGAGCCTCTGGGACTCATTTACAAGAGAGACCTGATTTTAACAAAGAGTGATGACAACAGTGGACAACAACAATAACAAGACAGTTATAAAAGAGGCATACAGATTAATTTTTTTTGGTTACAAATTAAAATAAAATGACAACCAAAAGGACAGTCAAAAGGAAAAAAGTAGCAAAAACAAAAAAAACAGCTAGATTATAAGGCGGTGTAGAAAAATAAAAATAGGAACATGTCTGCGTAGGTTCTTGCGGACATGTTCCTGTTTTTAATTTTCTACACCGCTTTACAATCTAGTTGTTTTTATTTTGTTTTTTAAATACCATTTTTTTTCAGTTGTTCTTCTCAATTTGTATGTTTTTTATGATTGTCTACTGGTCATCACTCTTTATTAAAATCAGGTCTCTCTTGTAAATGAGTGAGAATAAAGGTTGAATAAATGAATATACATATAACATATACACATGTTCTTTCTTTTGCACAAAAGAGCAACATCATCAGGCCAGGACTTTGCGGTTTACACTCATCTGGTTTGAGAGAGGAGTAAAGGAGGCCATCTTTGTGAAGAGAACCCGTCCATCATCAAACGGGGCAGAGCCTTCGTGTCCAACTGTCCCCCTCTTACAATGCTGTTATTGCTAGTATCACTCAGCCCTCTCAAGCGGCCATCAGGGCACTAACGATCAACTGTTTAGGCTGATGGTCCTCCTTTATCATGTGAACATCTAGTTCTGGACGTCAACAGCAAACTGGTTGATCCACTATGAGATGGTGCTATTTATTTGTTCCAGCTCCTCAGACTGAAGAAGTCTTTTGGATAAAAGATGGAACGTTTCAACAAGAAGAATCTGTCCAGAGGGCTGACCTGGTTAGATATGCTGAGGTTGATTACAAAGAGCCTTTTATGGAGTTGAGTTTTCCATTAATACCATTAAGAAAAAATGAAAAAAAAGAGTCATATTTCAACAAGTATAAACTATAACCATGATAACAAAATAGGAATAACAATAAATATGAACAACATGAAAATATAAATAAGAATTAATAAAAAAAAAACATTCAAAGGTGGGAAAATGCACAAGAGGTTACACAGAATAAATAGAAAAGCCAAAAAAATTTACTGCACAAGTGTTTCTATTTTATATTAAAATTTTACAGTAAAGCAAGGGAAAAAGCACACGTTCCTGAACAGTAAATTTCGTACTTTTATTGTTTTTCTCGTTTATTGTGTATTTAAAATTAATCAACGTTGTCTGTTTTCTTTAACGTAATTTATTGGATATTTTACTTCATTAAAGACATGCAGCGGGTCAATGAACAGGATTTGAGTTTAATTTAATAAATAAATAAATAAAGGAACGGAAGAGGAAAACAACACCGTGTACGTCACTTCCTGTCGAGGCTAGGCGAGGTCACGTGATATGACATTAGCTCGCTGACTCTGCTATGTTTTTTCTTTGTATTAACGTTTTAGAAATGCTACATTTCTCGCTTCTTTCGGGATGTTGTCGTGGAGGGGCGCCCTGCGGCCGTCGCAACGGCCGCCGTGGACGACGCTGCTCGAGGAGTGTCGCCTCGAAAACGGCCGCTGTGGGCCTGCACGTCACGTGACCAGCATGCGGCGGAGCGTTTGATAAAAAAGATGGCGTGAGCGCGGAGGAGCGGCGCGAGGACAACAAGCTCTGAGCTGCCGGACCGCAGTGAGCCGCAGCGGCCCCAAGGTAAGCTCTCCACGGCCCGGAGCCTGTCTGTTCGCGCTGATCCCGCGTCGTGGCGCGGCAGAAACCCCAGTCGTCGTTGCCGTGTCGTATTTGAAGGCTAACGCGTGAGTTTGTGGTTTTATAACGCGGTTACGCGTTCTGTGGCTAACGTTAGCTAGCGACACAAACTGCGCCGTGCGCGTGAGACGACCGTTGCAAGGCTGCAGCAACGGGTCAGCCGAGACCAGCTGCTGCTTCCAAAGGCTGTAAACACGTCTCGCTTTGGTTGACTCGCACTTACTGCTGTTTATTTATTTAACGTCATTATCAGCTTTAACGGCGCCGACGAGCCGGACGACTTGTGAGCTTTACGTCAGTAAACGAACAAACTTGTGGACACATTTCGTCTGATAAAAACATTTAGCTTGAGCTCGTGTGTGCGCTAACTTCAGGTACAAAGCTTCAGGTGAAACCAGTAACTTTAGCTTTCAGTTTAGCTAGCGCAGTTCAGCCATGTCACTTAGCTTTAGCCGCTTTAGCTGCTGTGACGAACTTCACTGATGCCAACTTAAAAACAGTAAACTTTATAAAGTGGTGCATGCTGAGGGTAAGCTAGGCTAAATCAGGTGAGCAGGAAGTTGGACAGCCCAAACACGTGTCTTGTTACAGGAGTCATTGCTCCAACAAACAGATCGTTTTTAATTTTAATGCTTCTGTGAAGGTTTTAGGCTTTTATTTTTACTCCCTTTGCTTTGGGTTGAGCTTCAAGTTAAACTTTAAACACTTTCATTTGTTTATACGAATTCATCACAGTTGCATGCTTTTGTAAAACATGATTTTTTTTTTATTCTAATTGGAAATAATTTTCATTAGTTCATTTTTGGTTTCAGATTAAATTAGGGATTTTTTTGGTTTGCCTGTTTGACTTCACCCATGTTACTCATGAGGAGATTAAAAAGTAGTAGCAGTAAGAAGGGCTGCACCGATTGCAGTTTCATGATTTCTAAAAAGTCTGCTGACCTTCTGATTTTGGCCAATACTGATTTAGTTTTAGAAGCAACACTCAGGTGTTATAAGGTCACAATGCACCTTCGATTTTCAGTCTTATTTTGTTGAAAACATGCCCTTGAACAACATCCTAGAACCAATACAATCCTATTTTAACTGGCCGTGAGGTAGAGCTCTGAAATATGAATGAAGTTCAGACAATTGTTGTTAAAACTTTTTAAAAAATTAGTTTCTCGTGCAAGTATTGGACAATTTCTGATTTGCCAAAATTAAGGAAATCAAGGCCCCTAGTAGTAAGAGAATAAACTCGTAATATTACCAGAATAAACTCGTAATATTACCAGAATAAAGTTGTGATATTATCAGAACTCCGACACAAAAAGCAGCTTTTACTGTGGTAAACTGATGAATGGTCAAAGATTCAAGGTTCTTTATTCATCATTCGCACCACATGTGGTACATGTGGTGGAACAAAATTGTGTACACAGGGTCCCAGTTACACCCAACAAAAGTATAAAAATGTACAAGTTAAGCATCTTAAGTTACACTTTGGTACTGGTTTTACAAATAAGGAAATACTTAATGTGTTACCACATGAGCATCAGATTATTGTCAGTATCAGGACTTTGAAACAATTGTGCGAAGGACTATGTCTGTTTCGAAGAAAGAACCACACGGATTTGGAAGTTATTGCTTCTTTTGTGGAAGAGGAGCTTTCTGGCTTTTTATTCTCGTAAATTACGACTTTATTGGCATACGACTCTTTTCTCGACAATCTTTAGGATGTAAGACTTAGTCTCTTTTAAACTGTCATGAAAATATTTTTTAGCTTAAAGTGTGCAAAATAAAAATTCAAATTAAAACATAAAAAATAAGTCAATAAAAAAAGATGGTTTTAGCCATTTTTAACCCAAAGATTTTTTATGTATTTGTCCAAGATGCCTAATTTAGATTTTCTTGAATGTCATAGATAAAATGCAGGTTTTCATCAACGTATTTAAAAGTTATTTTCAATTAAGGAAAATGGGGACCGGATAGAGATTGTTCAAGGGCCACTTTTGGCCCCCGGGTCGTATGTTGCCCACATCTGTTCTAAAGCAACAGTTCCCAAAGTTATGGGTTGAAAAACACCAAGTACTTCTGGTCCCTCGTTGTTTTATGAAGACAAGTTTTGGAAAAGATCTTTTGTCAGGCTTTGTGATTTAAATAAATCGTTTTGATTAACTGGATGCATAACGGTGAAAAACTATAAATCAAACGTAACATTTAAGAGCCTGCAGATTGACTAATATTTAGATTTACTGTTGATGGATTTGTTTTTATTTAATGCATTTTATGACGTTACCTAATCCCTGACTGAGGTGGTGCTCGTTTGATTTTCAGATGGAGCCTGGACAGGATTTACTCCTCGCTGCTTTAAGTGAAAGTGGAATTTGTCCAAATGATCTTGGTTTATTAGACATAGACTCCCAGGATGTTATCCAGCCTTCCACGGCCCAACAAGTAAGATTATTGTCTGGGTGTAGACCATGTTCTACATTTCCTCCAGTGTAAACGTTAAATGGTGAATTTTGGTTCTCTTGCAGTCCATCTCTATCAGTGCTCTGGATGTTGGTGTGGGAACAGAATCGGTGGAGGTCGTTCGACCGGAGCCCTCAACTGCAGTCCCCATCGTTACAATCAGAGTGAGAAAACACAGCTTGGTGTTCCTTTTGATAGACCTGTCGAACAATGATTTGTTGCTCCGGTGAATTAAAACTTCCGTGTTGTTTTTGTGTCAGCATAAACCGCAGCCATCAACCACCACGTTTGTCTTAAATCAGCTGAATCAGTTGCCGTCGCTTGGAGCTGCTGCGGCCAAACAGTCGGTTACCAACCCAATCAAGCATACCATAACTGTCACCAAGGTCGTTCATGTGGCTAATTCAGCTCTGCGAGGGCCATCGGCCCCCACGACTACAAGTGTTCCCCATTCAGTGTCTGCAGTAGTGCCTTCTAACAAAGATCAGGTAAGTTTATAAATAATCCGGTGTTTCCCCCGTACCATTATTCAATGCCCCGCCCTGTCAACAGAACCGAGCCTACCCCCCCTCCTGTCGACTTCTGACGCCAACAACATAGTGTGCAATACAGACATAGCATAGCGCTCCACTTCTTTTTGGCTATCGTCAGTACTGGTTTTGTGAGGGGAAGGTTAATTCTGCCAACTCTGGCCCTTTCAGGCTGTGCCTGAGCTAACCCTGTTCACACATGCCACTGATGTTTGGGGTGATGTTGTCTGTGCTTTGGAAGGCTGGGTGGTGCAGGCGGCTGTTAGCAAACATGAAGCTAAGCTAATCAGATCCACGCTATATGTATTCCCACACTAGGTTTGCAAACGGTGCACTGGTCATAAAAACAGTCTTTCTAACATGCATTCACATTTTGTAGCTTGATAAATTGAGAGGCACATGGCTAATGACAAGCGGGTTGGAGGATTGAAAATAATTTATTGTTGTTGTTTTTTAAATGTTATTTTACAGATCAGTTACAATAAACTTACCATGCTCTGTTCAGAAAAATATGCTACACAGTATTTAATTGCTCCCTGCTTCTTGGGTTTCCTCTCGGCTGCGCTGCGAGTCAAGTGGCACGGCCATGACTTGGAGGTCTCTGTAAATGAGTCCTCGAGGTCCAGTGAGACCAGCCTGTAGAAATAAAGGTTGAATGAATTACTTGAAACTAGTCCGCATGCACTCTCTGCTGGATACATTGTACAATTACACCTTTTGCCATTAAGGACGCACCTTGTTCCCAGTATATTTGAGGTGAAAATTAGAAGTCAGAGATTTGTCATTCGCATCTCATGTGGTGGAATGAGATTATGTTCACAGGGTTCCAGTTACATCCAACAATAAAATGTAAAAGAAAAACATAAGATATGAAGAACAAATATACATGAAGAACTAACGGCATAAAAACAATACGTCGAACAGCAGCACGAACATGAGTGTGTGAGCAGATGAACACATCAACATGGAACCGATCAGCAGAAACATGGAACAGATCAGCAGTAACATGGAACAGATCAGCAGCAACATGAAACAGATCAGCAGCAACATGATATGGTTTTTCACAGTGATTATTCTGGTTAGAGATTCATGAGTCTAACAGCCTCAGGGTAGAAGCTGTTCCTCAGTCTAGTGGTTCTACACTTAATGCTCCTCAACCTCCTTCCTGAGGGGAGTGGGGCAAAAAGTCTGTGCTGGATGAGTGTGGTCCTTCATGATGCAGGTGGCCCTCTTCCTGCATCTGGAGGTGTAGATGTCTGTGATGGTGGGGAGGCTGACTCCAACATCTTCTGTGCAGCCTTCACCACTCTCTGCAAAGCTTTTCTTTCTGCAGCTGTGCAGCCTCCATGCCACACGTTGATGCTGGAGCACGGGATGCGCTCCACTGCACACCTGTAGAAGGAGGTGAGGACTGAGCTTCCAGACCAGCTCGTCTCAGCCGTCTGAGGAAGTAGAGTCTCTGATGATCTTTCTTCATCAGGCTGGTGGTGGTGTTGCTCCAGCTGAGGTTGTTGTTCAGGTGTGCACCCAAGTACTTGTAGTTGGAGACCACTTCCACCACAGATCCTCTTATGTTCAGGAGGGTGTAGGTAGGGCTGGGCGATATATCGGTATTTTAAAAATATTGAGATGATTTAAAACACGATATAAAATGAGACTGTATCAATATAAGGCGATATAGTCTTGTACTCTGCATAAAGATAACTCCAGCAGTTTTTCTCCCAGTCTGACTCTGCAGGCTGCAACCTTTCACACTATCACTCCTCCTCCCTCACTGACAAACCCGCTCCTCCCCGGCTGCTTGCTCCAGCTGAAGAAGCTACAGATATGCAGACAGGTCTTTGTTGACTCTCAGTGGGAGAACCACTTTAAATTCCTGATAAGGTGTGCAAATGACGGTGGCTGCTTCAACAAAGCTGCAAGGCTCCGTCTTGTGCCGGGAGAAGAAATACTCTGAGATCATAGTTACACAGTCACGATGGGGGGAAACAGGTTTTTATGGCTGTTAATTAGAGGATAAGATCCGCGTTGATACGGACAAATTTTATGTTTACATGCAACCGGAGGAATCCACCCCGCCCTCCCGAATCTGCTGTAGTTACCATGCCGGGTCATTAGATGGCGCTGTGAATTTTGTACCTTCACCCAATGCACATGCCTGCTGCCTCTGCACGCTGTTTTCCTCTGGACTAAGAGCTCAGCTAACAACAACAACGATGTAACAACAAGTTAAAGATGGATTTTGGATGAGAGTCGACAGATTTGACGCCAAGCGGCACCGCTTCGTCTAACAGCTCCACACCGGTCGCTGAGTGGACCAGAACCGAGTCGACGATGTCGGACTTTGCTCCGTGATCATCAGTAGCTGATTTACAGCAGGTAAATCAACGTTCTTAATGATGTTTACTTCGGTTACACAACAACCAGCTGAGTTTTTATTTTTCCTGAAAGAAGAAGAAGCTGTCCTTCCACCAGGCGGACCGGTTCGGAGCGAGGCTCGGCCCAGGTGCAGTGCAGGAGGACGTCGAAGAGAGATGTTGGATGAACTATTTATTTAAAATTCCCCTCATTTATTTTATTCAATCCATTCAATATTTTAAGCTGCATTAATCAAAGGAGTGACGGCCTGAACGAGCCAGAAAACAACGTCACCAGTATCCAGGATGAAAACGGAGCAGAGTCCACTTCATTAATGTTTTTACAGTTCGGTTAAAGTGTTTTTAATAGTGTGTTCAGTTTAATTATCAGTGTTTGTGTGACATACAGTTTGTGTTGTTGAATAAATAAATAAAAATTAAACCTGATGTCTTCATTTTCAACTTAAATAACACGCAGCATGTTTTGCATCGTTTAAATCATATAAGTCCAGATAACTTCATTATATATCTCCCACGCTAACATTAATACTGTTTATAGATGTTTATATTCTCAGCGGGCGGTCAGACAAAAACCTCCGCTCTGAGAGGTGGGTTCAGAAACTCCGGATTCAAAGAGGGCCACTGGTGTCGTGTAAATGAGCAGCAGAACCGCAGAGAGAAAGTGGATTCACTCAAAATACGCGCCGTGTAAACGGCCCCTGACAGCAGCTTGAAACTTTTACACAGGGCGGTGCATTCAAGAGCATAGGAACTTTTAAATTCAGAAAGAAATGAGCTGTAATCAATCGGAACTGAGCTCTGTAAAGAAGCCAACTACACAACAATGTGGGCTTTCTAACAGTTTAGTTAATAAAGGTTGGATTAATGTACTTCATTAGACTTTTAAAGAGCAGTCAGCCTTTCATTATGGTTGCTCTGTATGTGTTCTGTTTAAATTTTAAGTGCACAAGATGTGCTTTTGGTTTTGTTATGCAGGGGGGGAAAAAAAACCATTTTATTTTTGAGACATTTATTTTGTAGTTGCAGCTTTAAGATGTGTGACAACTGGGACAAAGCTTCGACTCAGAAATATATTTGTGTTACAACTTTATGGAAAGAAAAATATATCAAGATATATATCATATATCGCCATTTATCTTAAAATAACGAGATATTAATTTTGGTCCATATCGCCCAGCCCTAGGTGTAGGTGTGTGTGTTCCTTCTGAAGTCCACAATCATCTCCTTTGTCTTCTTCACATTGATGTGAAGGTTATTCTCTCTGCACCAGCTCTCCAGGTGTTCCACCTCCTGCCTGTAGCTGGACTCATCATTGTTTGTGATGCATCCCACCACCGCTGTATCATCTGCAAACTTTACAATGTGACAGCCTGGATGGGTAGCTGCACAATCATACAAAAGTACTTTCAAAAGTACTTTATTAATCCCAGAGGGAAATTTAAGTGAGCAGAGTAAACAGGAGAGGGCTCAACACACATCCCTGAGGAGAGCCAGTGCTGAGGGTTATGGTGGAGGAGGAGAAGTTGTGGATCCTCACTGACTGAGGTCTGTTTGTTAAGAAGTCCAGGACCCAGTTGCAAATGGAGGGGCTTAGTTCTAGTGTGAATAGTTTGTCCATCAGGGTTTGGGGGATCATGGTGTTGAAGACAGACATGAAGTCCACAAAGATCATACGGATGTAGGAGTTCTGCTCCAGGTGGGTGAGAGCAGTGTGGACCACAGAAGAGATGGTGTCCTCTCTTGGTTCTTGCGGTATGTGTACTGATGAGGGTCCTCGTTGATGGTTGTTCTGATGTGGGTCATGACCAGTTTTTAGAAGCTTTTAGCGACTATCAGGGTGAGGGCTACTGGTCGATAGAAGTCTTTATATCTGAGTATAATGGGAGAGTTCTCATCAATACCGATATGTCCCCAAACACGTATATCAGCCCTACCAGTTTATCGGTCAGGCTCTCGTATGTAGATATATAGTTCGTTCACAAATTCACGCACAAAAAACATTTTCTCTTATTTACTCTGATCACATATCATTTTTTCAGCAGATTCAGTTGAAAGACCTACTTCGAACTGGCAATGTGAAGAACATGGGTCTAAAGAGCAACAGCCTAAAAGAGCTCATGAAGTTAAAACCTCCACCTGACATCGCTCCGCCTGTGGCAACGGCTACAGCCACGACTTCAGGTAACTTAAAAAAAAAAAAAAAACTTCAGGTAACTTACTCAAATGGGCAAAAACACCGACTTTCAACTCTGCAGTTGTTCCAGATCTTCGACGAGGTTCTTATTTCAAGTTCAAGCACTTTGATAGTGAATTTTCCAGAAGTTTCAGCGTCTTACAGCAATGACATTTACACACAACAGTTAATTTGTGCTCAAAATGAATATTTCACTTCCCCATTCTATAAAATTTATTTTAATGTGCTATAAACGGCCTAAAATAGAACCGACATCAGAGCAGGAGCTCTCATCTGACAGAAAACCTGTTCAGATCTCAACACCATGCTGATGATGCCTTACCTTACTTTATTTCATTTATATGTTCATTTCATAAACATGTTTTCATGCTGCTGCCAGAGTCTTAACTGGAGTTACTGGGAGAGATCATCTCTCTCCAGTTTTAGCTTCTCTCCATTGGCTCCCTGTCAAATCCAGAATAGAATTCAAAATCTTACTTCTAACCTACAAAGCTCTCAACAACCTAGCTCCATCTTATATTACAGATCTTATTGTTCCATATTTTACTAACAGAGCACTTCGCTCTCAGACTGCAGGTTTACTTGTGGTTCCTAGAGTTTCCAGCAGCAGAATGGGAGGAAGATCTTTCAGTTCTCAGGCTCCTCTCTTGTGGAACCAACTTCCAGTTTCTGTCCATGAGGCTGACACATTGTCCAGTTTGAAGACTGGGATTAAGACTTTCCTTTTTGATAAATCCTATAGTTAGGGTCGGCTTGTTATGCTGCTATAGACTTAGACTACTAGAGGACAAACTGACCTCATGTCCTTAAATGAATTGTTAAAATTGAATAGTTTTCATTTGATACTATTTCTATCTTAACATGTGATTCTTGACCTGCCATTGTGTATCTATTCCTACCAAACCCAGCCGGTTGAAGCAGATGGTCCTCTTGTCCTGATCCTGGTTCTGCTAAAGGTTTCTTCCTCATGAGGGAGTTTTTCTTTCCACTGTCGCCTTCATGCTTGTTCAAGATGAGAGTTCAGTGATGGAGTTAAACTCAAAGCTGCTCCTCAGATAAATAATGTTCAATTATTATTTTATACATGAATGTTTCTGTTAAATTATTATTTTATATTTGAATTTTTCTGTTAAATTATTATTTTATATTTGAATGTTTCTGTTAAATTATTATTTTATATTTGAATGTTTCTGTTCAGTCCCTGAGACGAGTTCTGTTGTGACTTGGAGCTTTAGAAATAAACCGAATTGAATATAGTCAGTTTTAGTGCGAGTCAAAACGAGATGATTTTTGAACGTGAGGCGGACGGAGCTGCAGACCCAGAGGAGGACGGAACCGCCAAGTCAGAACCTCTCGGACAGAGGAGAGGATCATGAAGGAGAAACAGTCCGAGTCAAGACAGAGAGGACTTTGATGATGAAGAGGGTGATCATGATTTGTTTCAGACCATGAAGAGCGAACACAGCCCTACTAGGAGGTCTGACTCTGCAGAGAAGAGGGTCCATCTAGAACCCCTCTGACTGGGCCAACAAAACCAAGCATCAGTTCCGAGCTCTGGAGAACAGAGGAGGGTGTGCATGTTGCCCCAGAGGACTAGTGGAGGAAAATGCACTTTTTTTTTTAATTAACAAAATGAATTAAAGTTTGGGCACAGCCCGAAGAGGAGACGTGGGCCCTCCTTCCCGTGGGCTCACCACCTGCAGAAGACAATGGATGGATGAAGTAAAGTTAAAGGGTTCAACCCGTCTAAATGTTCACAACATGATGCTCTGATGTGGATCAGAGTTCACGATCTTGTCTGTAGTTACAGAAACTGCGTTCATTCAGCTGGGACTGCTGCACGATAAACAATAAAGATCAGTTCAATGTAAAATAATTCATTAGATTCTTGAAAACGCATGTTATCGTGCTCTATCTACACATTGATTGACAGCTGCTGCTGATTCTGATGTCTGTGATGCTGGTGAGACATTTTCCTCAGTGATCAGAGTTCAAACAGTTGATGTTGGAAGTGACTCCAGCCTCCTGCGCTAACAGTTAACAGGCTGAGAAATCCACCAGTGACCTAACCAGTACCGGTCTGGTTTCTGCTGGTGTTCCAGGTGACGTGAACAATGGAATCAAGAAGGATGTGTTTGGTAAAGACGGTGCCAGGCTCTGGGTTAAAGATGACGTCAAAATACAAAACCTTTCAAATTCTCTGGTAAGTGTTTTTATCTTCTTATACAACTCTTTTAAAAAAAGACAATGTCCAAACATCATCACTATTTTTGAATCCGTGCACAGAAAGCCCCAGGGCTAAAGGAGGAAGATGAGCCTGAGGAGGAAGAGGAAGATGAGCTCGGTCACGCAGAGACCTACGCAGAGTACATGCCATTGAAACGTAAGAATCATTTTATTTGAGGAGGTCGGATTTAAAGGGTGACGATCACCGTGAGAATACCACAGTCCATTTAAGACTAAAAGCATCAAGGGTGGGCCTCGATGCTAAAATATCTATAAATTGAAATTATTATTCATTTGTGTAGAAACATTATGCTGCTGTATCATCTTTAATCAATACTACCAATTCAAACGTGTTTGTAGAGTTCCTTTGCAGCCTCAAAGTTTAAAGAGCACAAAGATGATTTTAGTATTTTTAGGTCTGGATACTCTTAGAACAAAGTATGTTAAAACACGAGTGTTTCCAAAGTTTATTCTCTGTTCCATTATTTTTAAAAGCTCACTCAGATTCTCGTTTTTCATGTTTTATTGTTGGGAAATGGTGGCGGTCGTCATGAGTTTCACTTTTGGTCTGTTTATCTTGGCAAGCCTCAAGTTTGAGGGTTCATCCGTCCGTGCTGAGGCAACATTTCAGCCTTTTTTAAATATATATATGTTTTTTTTCTTTCCTTTTTTATGCTAACAATGCTCCAAGTTTTCCAAAAAAGTAATTAAAGACAAAGCTTAAGAATATATCAAAATGTCCGTTCAAACACGTTTTTTCCCGTTCATTCCCGTTGCCTCCCAGAACCAAACACTGAAAGATGCTTGCAGTCAGTAATTCAGAGGACTGGGGGGATTATAAAGCGATTATTGATGTAGCGATTGTCTTCACACGCCACTGTCTTATTATATTAACATGGACTCATTAATACTTGATGAAGAGCACGTAACATTTGTTAAGAAACCCGAACAACAGGCTGCTGACCAACAGTTAGCATAAATGCTAACCTAATACTGAAAACGCCATAGAAAAGCTAATGCTAGTAACATTGTTTGTCACTTGAAATTTATACATGAATCGGACATAAATCCAGATTGACGTTAACTAAATAGATTTTCAAAGGTTGAAAATTGTCTGCACTAGATCCTGACCTGATGAGGATATTTTGGCTATTGGTGATACCGATATTGGGAGGGTTAGGCGACCACCAATAATCGATATGACGGTTGAATTTATTTTTGTTTCGTTCACCCCCAAGAATCTGTAAACTGCGAGTGGAGCGGGGCTTGTTTATTTAGCTTAGCTGTTAGCAATCATGAAGCTAAGCTGATCAGATTTAATTAGTCCCACTGTGCTGCCTTTTGTTCAAAGACCGTAAGTTCATCACGTGAGTAAGTTACAAAAATTAGGTGACAAGTTCATAGTTGATGATCCGTGTTTTGATCCTGTATGCTCCACACTGGTTAGTTGTCATATTTATTATCTGCATCGTTTTTATGTCTATATTCTGATTTACCTCATTTTGTATTTTGCTTCGTGTGCTACCTGTTGTTCTGTCTGTACAGCACTTTGGTTGGCCATGTCCCTGTTTTAAGTGCTCTATAAATAAAATGGTCTGGTATAGTTAATAATTTAAGTAAATTCATAAACTGTTGAAATGTTTTGGGTTTGAATTCCAGTCAGAGTGAGACGTCTGATCTTTGTCATATTGTACGTGAGGTAGTGAGTGCTCTCACCATAGAACAATCTTTGACGGCATTTCTCCAGTAAAACGAGTAATAAGAGAGAAAACGGCTCACGTACACGCTTGTGCCTTGAGAGACTTGTCTTTTTACAAATTCATTAAAGGTCTTCAGTAAAATCATGAAAGCAAGCCTCGTCTGAGGACTTTTTATTTTGTTGGCTGTCTGGCTTCACATAGGAAAGCATACCCACATTAACGTTAGCTTGCTAACTTGAGAGGCACGTAGCTAATGACGAGCAGGTTGGAGGATTGAAGAAAATTTATTATTGATTTATTTTACAGATCAGTTCAAATAAACTCACCATACTCTGTTCAGCAAAATACTCTACACAGTATTGCTCCCTGCTTCGGCTGTGCTGAAAGTGAAACTTAAGTGAACGACCAGTGAAAGTCGTCTTCATGCGCCCTCTGCTGGATACATTGCACAATTACGGCTGTTTCCAGCATTTTAGGAGTAAAAGTTAGGAGTGCTTATATCGGCCGATAATGGGACAATTATCCCCGATAGCAACAGGTCCCCAAACGGCTATAATGGCCTAACTTATCGGCTCTACCGATATATCAGTCGGGCTCTAGTCTGCACATCTACGATGCATTTAAACTTGATTTTTAACCTGCACAGAAACCCCCAAGTTCCTTCCAGTAGCAACATTTTGCATGTCTGGCTGTTTATCTGAATTATACTAACGGTGTGTTCTCGCTCTCCCAGCACGTTAGGGCTTTTCTTTGACTTGTTATTACTTTGTTACACTTCTGTGAAACATTCGCACAAAATTAAAGTTTAGGAAAGTAATTCAGCAGTGTGTCGTCACCGTGTGCGTGCAACAAACTTACTTGTGAGCTCTAAATGCAGTGAGAATCGGCCTGAGGCATCCTGATCCTGTGGTGGAGACCAGCTCTCTGTCCAGTGTGAACCCTCCAGATGTTTGGTACAAACTGTCCATCCCAGAGGAGGTCATTGATCGAGGCTGCTTGTCTGCTCTGCAGCTGGAAGCCATCACCTACGCAGCTCAGGTACGCAGCGTTAATTACTCTGAGAACTGTTCAGAAAACCATTGTCTGCATCTTCACAATCACTTTTTCTGTTAATTAGTTCTTTGTATGCGTTAGATGGATAATTGCTGTACCTGCTGATCTTTGTTCACCTGTGTTTTGTTTTAATTTGTAATTTGTAATTTAAAGGGATGTTTTGTCAAATATTTGTCCTAACTGACCAGGTGTTGTCAGTTTTAATCAGAGATCGGAGCAGGCTGGCTAGCCCATCGAGAGCTCAATATTTTTTATTTATGCCTTTATTTTGTAAGATTTGTCAGGTGTAACATTTTCTTTAAAGCAGCACACCGTATGATCTCTGCTTCCGTTTTCTAAGAAAAGAACGTGAGCGAACGGCACAGGAGACGGTTTAAAAACCAGGCGGAGACATTTAAAAGTTTTATCGTTTCACTGAAACAAAAAGCTGAAGCAGAGCTTTATTTCCTCAACAGCATCGCTGCACTGCAGGAGTTTATCCAATATTAACATTTTACACCTAACATGATTAATTTAAAAGTATTTTTGCTTGTTTAGTTTAGTTTCTGGGCTGTTGAACGCAGCACAGACGAGCCGCAGGCATCGCTCGTTAGAAACGTTTTTACTGAGCGGAGATGGGGCTGGGCGACACGTCAATGTTTAAAATATAGAGATCATTTCATTTACGAGTTATAAGATGGGACTATCTCGATATAAACGGTGTAGTTGAAAATCCGCCTGCTGTTTTCTCTTGATCCCACGCGGCCCTCGCCTCCCCCAGCCCCTCACCCGCTCCCCCGTTTCCTGCTTCTCCAGGTGGGACGGCACGTAGCGTTCACGGAGCAGCTGGTGAGCAGGAAAACAAAGATGGCTCTTTGGAGATGGTTTGGATTTAATTTGTCAGATGAACAGCAGAAAATGTTTTCTGTAGACAGCGCTGAAAACAAGCCCCAACAAAAGGTTCGAGCACAACGAACCCTTTTCACCTTTAAAACAGCGCGATGAAGCGCTGTACAGACACGAGATAGAACTTTATTGAGCCCGCGGGAAATCGTTGTGCCAGAGTTTCAGTACGAAGGAAAATACACAAGGAATCACAAGATATAAAAAATAACAGAATATATCAAAAAATAACAGAATATATAAAAAAATAACAGAATATATAAAAAAAT